CCACGCTGTAACCCGGCTCTGCAATAAACCCCGTCCGCACTGACACGGCTCTGGTTGTGTTCATGGACCGAGCAGCCCGAGCCCCTCTGGCCGCTCGCCCGGCGGGACCGAGCGGGCTCGCCCGGCCACGCCGCCCCGGGCCAGCTGTGCCGGGGGCTTGGCCCTGGCCACCGAGGATTTTGGCAGCTCCTGGCTGGCCCCGAGTTGCCTGAGCAACCGCAGGCACACAAACACGAGCGCCTGGCTCCCGCTCCCGCTCTGTTTGCAACCAAACACAGAGCTCCTGGTAACGATCCCTGGGAACAGGCTGGGCTCCAGGACGGGCCGGCAGCCCCGGGATGGGCTGGTCACTCCGGACAGTGCATGAAACTGGGGGTAGGCGCCGTGACCCCGATCCCAGGCATGGGCTGAGCCTGCTGCAGTGCTGCTGGGGTGGCAGTGCCAGGATTTGCAGCTCCGTATCCACCTCAGGGCCATCCATTCAGAGCCAGGCTCCCTAAATAACCCACAAGGGTTATTTCCAGGTGGCTCAGCTGTGGCAGTGGCACTGCTCAGGCCGTGAGGGATGTGCCAGGGGCACACACGTGGCTGGGACAAGGCTCACTCACTGCCAGGGCACAGCACTGCACCTCTGCATCCCAGACACCTGCTTGGGAAAGCACAGGAGAAGGAAGAGGTTGTCTTTTTCTGGGCTGGATTCAGCCCCATCCTAGGTGGGGGTGGACAGTAAGTGTCTGCCAGTGGTAGGCTGGGCTGAGGGCTGGGGGATGTTAGCTCTCCTTTCTGTTTTGAGCAGGTTGGAGGGAGTTTGTGGCTGTCTATCCCTAAATGGTCTTTCTATGCATGCAGTGTTCCTCCAAAAAATTGTTGCTTGAGAAGGGGGAGGGGGAGTGGGGGAAAGAGAGACTTTAACCCTTTGCTGACTCCACTGCCCAGCTGCACAAATGAGCTGCAGAATTCCCAGGACCAGGCTGCCCTGAGTGCCTTGAGGTCTGTGGAGGTGACTCAGCCCTGTCCTTGGAGGCTTGGCAAAGGAAGATTATTTTGGGAAGAGATGAGCAGGTCAGGCCCCACAGGACTCATTTCCTGCCTGTATGGTCCTGTCAGGACCTGGCTGTGGAGCATGGGAGCTCCCATGTGGAGACAGCTCTGAAGGGGAGTCGCAGGTGTTGATGAGTTTTTGACACAGGGTAATCAAGACTGGGAAATCATAGAATCTTGGAATTATTTGGGTTGGAAGGTACCTTAAAGACCACCTTATTCCAATGCTCGTGCCATGGGAAGGGATAGCAGGTTGTTCCAAGCCCTGTCCAACCTGGCTGTGAATGTTTCCAAGGAATGGGGCATCTACACCTCCTCTGACCACCCTGCTGCTGAGGTGAGGCCACTGCTGCTCAGGTGATGGCTCATCCAAGGCAGGGACTGCAGGATCTCCCAGGACAGCCAGCTCCATCAGCCCAGCCTCTCCATCAGCCCAGCCTCTCCAAGCAGCTTCTTCGCAGCCTGTGAAACCACTGCAGAGATCAGGTAACAGCTCACAGCTCTCACAACTCCCATGTGCTGCCACCCCCTGCACAAAGATGCTCCTTGCCCACTCCAGC